GGCGTAAACACAAGCTAATGAACCAATTGTCTTCTATGAAATGCTGTTGAACAAATTTTATTGATAGACTGACCATTTTCTCTCAATTCGTAGTATATTTGGCATCAAATTTTCGCATAGTTACGAAATTTGTGACCAAAATCTGATTGACTCTAGCTCTCAACATTTAGCCTCCAGTTTACAATAGATAGGCTCGGCATCTCGTGTTGTAGAAAACGAAATCGATTTGACAAGATCCGTCTGCATTTTCAGATGATGGACCCATACGACCACTTGTTGCACGACAGTTTGCCAATTACTGTATTTCAACTCTTGAAGGGGAATTGCTCTACTCGCGAGGAAGCGTCAAGTGATCTTGAGGGAACAAACAAAAATAAATAACCAATGCATGGAATATTCGTGGACCTTTGCGAGGCAGCGGTGTAAGTATAACCGAGCGCCAGATTCCAGTTAGCCTTAACATCCACCAATGAAAAGACTCGGAAAATTCCTCTCGATGGTGAAACGGCAGTTGCCGAGACAAACTAAGGGGAAAAACGAAGTGATTTATTTGTTTATTTCTCATGTTAATCAGAGTACTTTACCTGGCTTGAGTTAGTGCCAATGCGAAGCTTTGACAGGAATGAGTTCCAGCTCTGATGATGACCTTCAAATGGCAGAACGGACGAAAGCTCAGCCTATTTTCACCCGAAACGAAGGAGGATGTCCTGTGGACTGTGTCAACGCGAAACCTTGCATTAAAGCCAAAAGGCTACGGAACAACGGCAATCATCAGCCAAAACTTCATACAAAATGAAACCCTCTACAACGATATGGCATATATCAAAATATTGGCTTACACCGATAACACTTTGGTCGCTAGTCTTGTATTCAACATCCGCTCCAATTAGAAAGCCCTTTCCTCACATCATCCGTTCTGATCGGGAGCATTTGGTCAAGTGGATTCGTGGCATTCTGGACATCATAGCCCATCCGGCTAAAGCGATCTTTGCGTCAATCAAAGCATGAAATCATAATTGGTAGAGATAGCCTTGCACTTTGTACCTCTTGCAAATATTCTTGCAAGGCTTGATCAATGACTTATTACAGGGAATCTTGAAGCTAATTTCTAACGTCTTTGCCTTGCGTCCTAGAAACAAAAGTAAGGAGTTTTCCTGTGTTTCATCTGCACCATAGCACATCTTTACTTGTAGGGTTTTTAAACAGTTAAAATGTTAAAAAACGAAAAAGATTTTCTCGATTTCCGTTACTTAAATCCGTTACTCTTAAATCGGTTCCCAGTTCAGTCCGCCAGCTTTTCCATATATACGCATAGAGATTTATGCAAATAGATCTTATTTTGGCTATACCCTGTTTACCTGTTTGTCCTCATGGTTACTCGTATACGCATGTTATCTGATTGTTTTATGAGGAAAAATGGCTTATCTGATATGACTTAGCGCTATTTTTCCCTTCGCTGCCAGCCTTGGCACAGTTGCACATAATAGGTTGATGAACAAATCAGTTTTGTAAACGCCTAAAGCCTCGATACTACAGTAATTTACAACCTCTTTCATCATTGCATACCATCTAACTCGAGAGAATGGGAATACTCCGGCACTGGGGAAGGCCGCTACACGCAGGCTTAAGCGGCCGTATTGGCAAAATATGCGAGCTCGAAAGAAGCACTATGAGCGGGTCTGACTGAGCCGAGCCCAGAACCCCACATATACAGCGGGTTTAAAAGTCCGAGTCCACTAGAAATAATTGTGTTTATTGCATCATTTATTAGAAAGATAATGCAGATATTTGCTCAGTTGATTATTTTCAAACAATACTACATAATTAGATCATAGATATGAAGACCAAGAGCGTGTGGTGTCATCTGATAGCATCCTCATTTAGTTTTATATTGCTGGTTTGACCTCGCATTCGCAATTTGATCGGAGCGACAGAGACCTTATGGAATGTGCCTTATTCTGCATACTTGGCTATAGGCTTTGTGATAATTTCCAGCATCGGGCAGTGGACTTTGTATAAGTCAAGGTCGCTCCGACCAAGTTGCGAAAACTAGATCAAATCAACACACTACTATGTACTTTCCCAATAATGTCTAATTCATATAATATAAATTCACCAAAGTAAGTCAAACAAAAGTTTGTTTCTATTAACCAACGGTCAAAATGTCTCAATATTTGTCTTAATCACTGTTTTTACTCTATCTGTCTTCTATTCTACACGTCTTTGCAGAATTTGACAACCCACACTATTCCAGCACTTTTTTATGGAATTCCAGAGTGTCTTGTTCTGCTACAAAATGTTTCGCTTTTTATCTTTTCAAATCTTCCCAAGGATGTCCAATGGGGTTAAGGTCTGGTAACTGTGGAAGCTAAAAAGTCATGCAAGCCTGCCCTTCTTGCTCGTCCTTCTGCTTCAAATAGGCCTAAAACACCTTCGATGCATGTTTAAGATTAGAGTACTGCTTAAAATTAAATCCTATTCCACACAACTTTAAGTCAGAGCGGATGACATGCCCCTGTAGAGTCGTACTTTTAATTGGTGAATGTATGATAAGGCAGAACTAAGTGATCATAGCATCTGAAAACCAGTATA